TATGTATGTAACAGGGAAGGAACAGATTACATGTAATCTATCTGTCTGTCTATCAATCATCTATCTATCTATCTATTATAAAAGTAACTATAACCTTAAAACATTCTACTCCCCAACCTCACCTTTGTCTGGATAAACAGCAATGTTGCTACCTCTTGACTCATCCTGATGTGTTGGCTTGGAGTATCTTGTATGCATGTACGATCTCAGGTTAAGGATCCCTAACTGTGCCTCTTTTTCTACTCCTTATGAAGAACCAGCCTCTATTCAAGGAGCAGGTGGCACATTTTCAGGCCAAAATAGTTCTCACTGGAGCATCTCTGAATGGACCTCTGTATTCCAGGGAGTATAGGTTGGGCTGAAAGGTGAGGGCAGAAGACAGATTGGTGGGAAGGGGAAACCCCCTAAAAAGAGAATAGAAAGAGACAGCCATGAAACTAGATGCAAGCTAACAGAAATATATGGATATGGACAGAGTCTGAGAAAGGAAGGAAGGAAGGAAGGAAGGAAGGAAGGAAGGAAGGAAGGAAGGAAGGAAGAAAGGAAGGAAGGAAGGAGGGAAGGAAGGAAGGAAGAAAGGAAGGAAGGAAGGAGGGAAGGAAGGAAGGAAGAAAGGAAGGAAGGAAGGAGGGAAGGAAGGAAGGAAGAAAGGAAGGAAGGAAGGAGGGAAGGAAGGAAGGAAGAAAGGAAGGAAGGAAGGAAGGAAGGAAGGAAGGAAGGAAGGAAGGAAGGAAGGAAGACTTAAAGAGGGTTGACGGGAACAAAAGCTGAGGCAATGAGCAGCATGAAAATAGTCAGACTGAATAGTCCACAGAGTTCAACGCGGCTACTCCCAAGCAAAAGGATATAGCATTGCAGCGATAATTTCACTTTCATTTTACACACGATCTTGTAGAGCAGTGTTTCTCAACCTTGGGAACTTTAAGATGTGTGGACTTCAACGCCCAGAATTCCCCAGCCAGCCATGCCCAAAGTTGAGAAACACTGCTGTAGAGAAAGAAAGTGAAAAGCAAAGACCAATGCACCTTTCTGTTCAAGGAAGAAAAAAATCAGCGTCGAGAAGTAATGGGAAACAAGGGAAAGGCATGCAGGTTAAACATTTGGAATGCTGAATAGGCAACATCAAAGGACATGGGAAAGGGAGAAGGTGAAGTCTCCCCCCACTCAAACTCAGCATCCCAACTCCATCCCTGGTCAGCCCACCTTCCTCAGCCCAGCATCTTGGCTCTTCCAAGTCGGTGGCGCTCCAGAATATTTACAGATATCACACACACACACAGCAATCAACCTGAGAAGGCAAGAAATGGAGCAGGATGATAGATTTTTTGGGTATTTTCAGGGAGGAGGAGGAGGGACTATTCCTGCCTAACTCTAACCACTTAGTGAAAATTGCTGTAAAGTTGTCACAGGCTCAAGATTGAGCAATTAGTGGCAAAGAAGACATTTCCCTCCAGAGTCCAGCAAGCCCTAGAGGCTCTTGAAACCATTTGCAAAAGCTCACCCAGGAAGGATAGATCTCATCAAAAAAGTGACAGGGGCAAAGATGCAGGAGTGGGAGGAAGAGATCTGCCAAAGTTTGGATCAGCAAACTAAGGAGTAAATTTCAGATGGTATCAGAAAATTGTATTTGCTATTGCAGGAACTATATGATGGAACAAATTTCTATACCACCTTTGTAGGACAAGATCCCAGGTCAATGTTGGTGGGCAACACACACACACACGCATTTTAATTGTTCACTTATGTTTTTGTTAACGTTGTACACATACATCTACATGCAATTCTGGATACCACTTCTAGAATTCTTTGGCATCTACACCCAATCTAGACCAACCAGGAGGGGATCAGGGCACACACATCCTCTCCATGGACTTTTCATCCAGTTTACATTCCTCTACCACAAAATTTGTTTGTTTGTTTCTTTGTTTGTTTCTTTATTTATACAATTTATATAGCTGCCCATCTCACCAGCAAGTAACTCTGAGCAGTGTACAACAAGGCTAAAACAATCAGTTGTACTCCAAATGGTGAAAGCATTGTAAAAAACATGAGTGAACCCAGCAGGCCTATGTTCTCCTGCTCCCCTGCTCAGTCATAGTTTCTCTCTTTCTCTCTCCATTGCAGTGCCAGCATGGAGTAACTTATCTTGAGCACTGTCAGTGTATGGTGGGCAACCCACCCACTGCACAGCAACATTCCTACTTCATCTGATGGAAGTGGTCTCAGATGTGGCATTGAGGACTCCTAATGCATTAGTTCTGGAAGACTTCAGCATTCACACTGGGATTGCCTTGGTTGAGTCTGCTTAGGGATTCATGGCTGCCAGAGCAACCGCTGTTATATCTTATAGCCCAAAACACATGGTTGGTCACTGTCTGGATCTGGATTTTTCTACTGGGCAAGAAGATAATGTTCTGAGATGGGAGGGTTTTTTTACATTTGCCCTCTTGATCTGGTCAGACCACTTTCTGCTGAGATATAGGACAGCAGTCACTAATTCCTCTCTGCAGAGGAGTGAGCCAGTTAGAATGGGTCCGTGCCAGGGGCTGGAGGATTCCAATGGGTTCCAGAAATCCCTGGAGGACTTTCCGGCCAGTGTGGCTGGTGTTCAGGGTGAAGATTTGGCTGCCAGGGGACTACAGAGCAGTTGAAATGGTTGCTTATATGTGTGTATGAACAGGACCTCCTCAGCTCCATCCAACCACGACCTTCTTAGTCTTTCCCTTCCTCTTGAGCCATTTACTTCTCCTTTATATATTTGTTTTGCAATTATCTTTATTCACTGTCTCTGTGTGATCAAACTGTCTCAATGTTCTTCTTTCATCCTGGTCACTCACTTTATATTCAGTCCAGACTGATCCTGTCCCTTGTTGTACCACAGACATTTCTGACATTCTCCATTCCCACTGCATTCAATTTATTTTTACATGTCTCTTGACATAGCCAACTCTCATTTCCATATCTCTGTCTACAAACAGGCCTTTTCACCTGTAGCCCTACAAATATGGGATGCTCCCCTCAATGAGCTATTACTAGTGCTGTCTTCATTGTTTTTTTAATGCCAAAGATATGTTATTCTCCCAGGCATTTTAATAGTATGCTAATGCTGCTGTGATTCTTCGCTTTTTATTTCTGCTTTCACTTTTTTCATTGATTGAGTGCTTATTTTATTCTGTATTTTATTCTGCATTGAATAAAATATTTCATTAACTGTTGTAATCAACAGATTTAATTTCAAAACACCTCCAGCTTTATTTTCTAATGGTAAGCAGCATAGAAGTGTTTTATATCAAATAAATTAAATGTCAGCCATTTAATTTTTGGGTCCTGCAGACACCATGGAAGGGCCTTTGTATACATGGCATCCAAAGACTGCATTGCTGACTCTAGTTTATATAATAGTCCTCAAAAGCTCATGATGACAGTGTAATGGTCTGCATAAAGGGAAAGATTGGGAAATGTCCTCATAAGGGAAGAAATCATGAGCAAATTCTTCCTACGGAGCTTTTTCAATTCAGGAAGTAGGAGCAGGCAGGGAGGCTGCAAAGGGATAGAAAGAGCACAATGCAGGCATGATTCCCCCCAGTAAAAGCTATCGTGCAGAAAGGACTTGCTGTGGTGGAATAATAAAATCAGCTCAAATTCTCATTAAAAGAAAACTGCAAGGACTTCAGAAGATGCCTTTTTCACAGGGGAACAAAGCTTCTGAGAAATCAAGGGACAGACTTGACACAAAATGAATGTGTGCTATCCACAACAAACTAAACACATTTCAGAAAGTAGGTTCCGGCTTTCAGTTTGGGGGGTTTTTTACTCTTTAATTTACAGTCTTGTGTGCTTCTGTGGCACCTAGATATGTTACCTGTTTATTATGAGAAGGAAGGAAGGAAGGAAGGAAGGAAGGAAGGAAGGGCAAGAATAACAAATAAGGAGCATTTCTCTTGAATTTTCAAATGCAGCTGTGAATCATGGGGTTAGTTTTTTGTCACTAGTCTTTGAAGAGCTTTATGTACGTCTTTGTTCCTCAGAGTATAGATCAGCGGATTAAGCATGGTGGTGACAAATGTATAGAAAATGGAAATCATCTTGCCTTGATCACGGGAGGAGGCAGTTGGTGGCTGGAGATAACTGAAGATGGCTGTGCCATAGAAGAGCCAAACCACCATCAAGTGGGAAGAACAAGTGTTGAAGGCCCTCTTCCTGCCTTCAGCTGAGCGGATCCTCAGCACCGCAGCTGCTATATAACCATAAGAGACCGTGATGAGACTAACTGGTGCTAGAAGAAACACCACACTAGTAGAAAACATCACAGCCTCATTAAGTGAAGGGTCAACACAAGCCAATTTAAGAAAGGCAGGGAGTTCACAGAAGAAATGATCCACCCGATTCTGTCCACACAGTGGAAGCCTAAGAATCATTGCTGTATGAACAAGTGAGTTGCTGAAGCCACTCACCCAGGAGACAGCAGCCATCGTGAAACACAGAGAGTGGCTCATAATAGTAGCGTAGCGCAGTGGATGACAGATGGCAGCATAGCGGTCGTAGGCCATGACAGCCAACAAAATACACTCCGTGGAGCCCAGAGAAAGAGAGATGTACAGCTCAGCCATGCAGGCAGCATAAGCGATGGTCTTACTTTTTCTCCAGAAGTTCACCAGCATCTGGGGCCCAAGGCTGGTGGTGAAGCAGAGGTCAAGGAAGGAAAGGTTGCCAAGGAAGAAATACATGGGGGTATGGAGATGGGGATCTAATCTTGATGCCACAATGATGGTTGTGTTGCCCAGGAGGGTCATCAAGTAGCAGGCCAGGACAAGGGCAAATAGCAACATCTCCAAGCGTGGCCGGTCAGCTACTCCCAGCAAGATGAATTCTCCCTGGTAGCTTTGATTACTCTCTTCCCACGAGGTTTTCCCATTCATTGTCTATACACATTAGAACAAGTAATGACACACAAAAAGAATCCAGTACAAAAAATCTGATAGGAATCCAGCATGATCAAATGATTCTCATATTTGGAGTATGGCTTGAATTTTGTCCGCAGTAACTTAGATTCAAGCTTAATTAGTGAACTCTGTGGAAATGATTGGAGATCCAAATCCAATGGCACTGCTTTCTCAGCATCTCATTGCCTGCTCTTTTTCTAAGAGATTGCTAAGGTCATTTGCTTCTGCACATCCTGTCTGACTCTCCAGGTAGGATGTAGTTAGGTAGGTGCTAAGCTTTCCCTTTTCATACAATTTATTTCCTATATATACATCTTCTTTCTTTTCTAGCAATACAAAACCTGCTTCCCTAATCCTTGCTCAGTTAGATAGCTACTGTCAGGAACCCTCTCAAACACCTATCTTCATTAACCACAAAAGGTTGTTGTATTTGTGAATGTAAAGCAGAATCCTATTGTGTGAGAAGTGAATGTGTTAATTATAGGACAGAAAACCTTGTAGCTGGCTACAGGAACATTGGGGAGTATAATACAATGAATAGTTTTTGGAACTCTGTTTTGACATATCTGTCATAGCTAAGAGGCTGAAAGGAGCCACAGTTATATCAGAAATCACATGTAATCAATATAAGTGCTGAACATCAGCCACTGCCTGCAGTCTGCCAGAATCCTTTTTCTAGCCCCAGAATGGGTAAGGTCAAAAGTTCTGGCTACTAATTTTAAAGGCTTTTTTTAAAGATAAGGGGCAAATTGCCACCTTAAGTCATTGATCTTGTGGGTGGGACTCCCTCACCATAAGATTAATGGCTTAAGGCAACAATTTGTATCTTATCTTTAAAAAAGCCTTTAAAATTAAAATATAACTAGGACCACAATAGCCCAGTTTGTGCACCCAAGAATTGCATCAATGGAGAAGATGAAGAATGTTTATCTCATCCCCACTGTTTGCAAACTTCTTGCAGTTACATTTTGGCCTCTAAATCATCATCCTGACTGGGCATGGACCCCAACTGCATAAAGGACTATAACAATATTTAGCTTATGACTTTCTTTGGGAACAACCTACTCCATGCATGAAAATTAGGGATGATATTGAAGTCCTCTGCTCCCCTCATGGATACAGTCTATGAATTCCCAGACAAGTTGGAGTCCTATCACAACACTAGGCAGTGCTGAGCTTGTCTGGGGCAGGACTAAAAAAAATACAGCAAGATTGGTTGACTTGGGCGTCCAATTTGTACAACAGGGCTGAGCTTTCTTGTGATGGTAGAAGGCCACAATCCTAAGGCTCACCCTATCCCATGCTCAAGAGCCATATGCAACCTAAGGTGGTGGAGGTTGCCCATCCCTGTCTTTTAACTGAGGGTGAGCTAGGATAAGTGCCTCGATTGATTGACTGATTGATTGATAATGTGCCATCAAGGCATTGTCAACTCTTAGTGACCACATAGATAGATCTTCTCCATGAAAAGGTACCAAATTCCCTTCTTTAATTTGCTGATGGAGAAGATGTAACAAGCCATGGGAAGAAAACTCTTTCCAGCCAAGTCAGATTATTCTAAGACTGCAGACAAACTTATATAAGAGGAAAAAGAAGTAGATCTGTTACTCATAAAACCTCTGCCCTTTGTTCAGCAAGGGAGACCCAGGTTACGTGCCAAAAGAGAGCTGCATGGGCACGGCCTTCAATACTGAGGCCATGGGCGAGTCTCAGCACCCCAAACATTTGGTTGGCACCCAAGGGCTAAGTATACTAAGACTCTGTGACTCAACCACCTGCTTCATTTCCATCTCCCTTTTCAAGGCATGATCACCTGTCTTGCACACACAGGTTCTCCACAAGCCTCCTTCAAGTTTCTTTATAGCAATAAAAACAGGTGTCCCAATTAGGTCTGTTCTCCTGGATCCTCTTCCCAACACATTTGTTCCTTTATTCCTGTATTCATTCACTTATTCATTACATTTATATCCTGCCAAAATCTGGGGACTCAGAGGTTTCAACAATCACACTTGCTGAAGGGCTTCTTGCCGAATGAAGGAAGGGAGAAAATGGGGAGGCAGGGGAGAAAAGATGTCATCTCCTACCCCACCCCACCCCACCCCAATAATCAGATCAACCATGAATTATGGAAGAGCATTCGAAAACAGACAGCCAGGGAGAAAAGAAGACAACATTCCTGCAGGTTTAATAGTGAAGGAATTTCAGCAGGTGCAGCATCAGAGAAAGAGAGAAAACTGAAGCACAATTTAGTGTGCAAGAGAGAAGTGCAGGATCAGTACTGTCAGGATCTGTGCAAGCTAGAAATCAAAGCTTAATTGAATGTAGACTAGTGATGCATACTGGACAGGGTTAAATGTTATAATTGTTAATTGGAGGCCTGCTTGCTTGTTCCTGCCATCAAAGTCAGGAGAGAAGGGGGAGGAAGCCAAGCCAGGTCCTAATGTTATCTCTGCAGAGGTGCCAACAAGGTCAGGCAACCGTGAGATCAGAGAAAGGCTCAAGGAATTTCAAGCGGGAAAAGAAAGTAGAAGGGGGGGAAGTGGGCTTAAAAGGAAAGGATTTGCTTGGAAATGCTTAGACTCAACAACCTATAGATGCTGTGTATTTCTCTTAATAAAGAAATCTTTAATGGAACTAATTAGAGTCCAGAGGATTTATTGAACTTTGGGAATGAGTGTGCAGACTCTGACAAACACACTCCCTGCTTCTCTCTTGACTATCCGGCAGCCTCGTCTGCCCCATGTCTGACGAATCCACTTTTCTCTCTTTCACTCTATGCACGCATGAGATTCATATCCCACCTTCATCCAGGAGCTAAAGGCCATGTACGTAGTGCCCCTTCCTCCTTTCTTTCCCACAACAGGCACCCCGCAAAGGAAGTTGGCCTGAAAGAGAGAGAGAGAGAGAGAGACCCAAAGTCACTCAGGAAACTTCTCTGACTAAAGATGCCCTTGAACCTGGGTCTCCAGACTGTCTCTAGGGCTAACACAAAGGACTGGGCCAAAGTCACACAGGAAGCCTCCATGGTGGGGAGGATGAGACCTTGAAGACTTACCTTACAATATATTTCATGACCAAATGAACCATTCCAAAACATTCAAGCAAGTTATAAAAGGAACAAATCCTACACCTTCATCTTGGCTCTTCCAAGTCAGCGCTGCTCCAGAATATTTACAGGTATCACACAGACACGCAACAATCAACCTGAGAAGGCAAGAAGTAGAGCAGGACGGTAGATTTTATAGGCATTTTCAGGGAGGAAGAGGAGGAAGAGGGGACTATTCCTGCCCATTTCTCACCACCTGGTGAACATTGCTATTAGATTCTCATAGGGCCCCAGGATACCAGGACTCAAGACTGAACAATTAGTGGCAAACAAAACATTTCCCTCCAGACTCCAGCA